GGCTTGAATTTGATTATAAGATACATGGTCAATCGCACTTTAGGGATAGCAACAAAGTATGGGTAAGGGCAGCAGACAGCCTGGCCTGGGTTCCCGTTTACAGCTATGATATGGATGCAGTGCCCGGCACCGTTCTTAAATCGGGTTCTATTTCTGTGACGGATGCGATTCTTGCCGCAGGAAAAAACTATTCGCCCAGTATGCAGATCCGGTTCGGCCAGCAAGACACCACAGTGATTGCGCTTAATAATTATGGTACCGGCATTACACTCGATAATATCAGGCTGTATGCAGTAGTGAATGATGTAGCGCTGGATAGCCTGATATCTCCGAAAAACATTGCCTGCAACCTCAACAATATGCCCGTTACCGTTCGTGTATATAATGGCACTTCCGTAACTCAAAACAATATTTCAGTATCCTACAATGTTGACAATGGCCCGGTGTACACGGAGATCATTTCCTCCCTGGCGGGAAAAACACGGACCATCCATACGTTTGCACAACTGCTTAACGGGTTGGCACCAGGCCCGCATACCATCAAAACCTGGGTAGCTTTAAGTGGTGATACTTATACTGGAAATGATTCGCTTACCGAATCAGTACGTAATCAGCCACTGATCAGCAGCTATCCTTATCTTGAAAACTTTGAAGCCAATGACGGCTATTGGTTTGCAGAAGGAATTAACAGCTCCTGGGAATACGGCACTCCTGCTTCTTCGAAGATAACCCAGGCGGCTAGCGGCACCAAAGCATGGAAAACCAACCTGACCGGCACGCATAACGATAGTGAATATTCCTTCCTGTATTCACCTTGTTATGATCTTTCAGGGCTTAGTCAGCCCATGCTCAGCTTCAGTACCGTTCTTGATATAGAGCATTGTGGCAACCCGATCTGTGATGGCGCCTGGATGGAATATTCCCTGAACAATGGGCAAAGCTGGACGAAGCTGGGTGCTGCAGGGCAAGGACAATCGTGGTACACCAATGCCAATGATAATGTATGGGATGATGAAGGTAATTACCGCTGGCGGGTAGCTTCTATCCCGCTGCCGGTCACCTCACAACCACTTCGCTTAAGGTTCGTACTCCTTTCTGATGTCGCTTATGCCACGGAAGGTATCAGCCTTGATGATGTGCATATTTACAACAGGGATTACCCGTTATATAATGACGCCAGCGCCGGCCCCATCAGCCAGGCAGTCAGTGGCAGTAATTATGTCAACTTCCTGAATGGAGGTAAGCTGTTTACCCAGATCAGGCCGGACGGTCAGAACCTGGGCAATACGGATGTCAATGTCTATATGCATCCTGCTCCCATTGTTGCAGATGCCAAATACTACCTGGCACGCAGCTATAAAGTAACAAGCGCCTTACAGCCCGCAGACAGTGTTACAGCCAGGTTTTACATCACCGATGCCGAGGTGACATCCCTCATAAATGACAATAGTTGCGCCGTCTGCTCCAAGCCCAAAGATGCTTACCGTATCGGCATTGCCAAATATGATGATCTGGCAGCGGGCAACATCAATGGTACATTAACGGACAATATTGGAGGCACCTGGACGTACTACCCTGCCAACAACATTAAATGGGTACCTTATGATATTGGCTACTATGCCGAGGTGCGCCTGCGCTCTTTCTCGGAGATCTGGTTTAATGATGGAACATCACAAACATCACTCTCATTAAAGCTGGTAAGCTTTGGTTTAACCAAGAACAGTACAAGCGCATTCCTCCATTGGGAATTGCAGGAAACAGAAGGCGGCGAACAGGTGGCCCTGCAACGGAGCGGGAGCGATATGGCGTTCACGCCCTTGGTAACATTCCCCAACATATCCAAACAACTATCGCTAAAACAAAGCTATGATGATGCCGCTCCCTTAAACGGCAACAACTACTACCGCCTTGCCATTACCGGAAAAAACGGGCGCATTACCTACAGCAATATACTCTCGGCTACCTTTGGTGAGGCAGAGGTCTTGAAAGTTTATCCGAACCCGGCTACCAATAAGGTTCAGCTCGACTGGAAGGACAACAACATTCCGGCAACGATCAGGATACACAATGCTGTTGGTCAGCTTGTTTATAACAGGGAGGGCATCAGGGATAATAAGGTAGAGGTATCATTAACCACACTACCCAGCGGCATTTATACACTTACCTTCCAGCAGGAAGACAAGACGGAACACCGCCAGTTGCAGATC